TGTTCTCAATGACTGACTGTGCTTGTGTATGATACACGACCTTCTAGAACAACCGGGCAATAACGGGAGTAACATTAATACCACGGTAGTCTGAGTCCTCTATAGGCATGTTCACTTTGGGGAGAGGATTAACATTTGCCCTTTTCCAGGAGTCTGGCCATGTATGAGTCGACAGCGACAGATTCCAAACGTGAGTGACGATTGATGTGAGTAGCTCAGCACAGTCTTTCCAGATCCAGTACGGGAGGTCGTCTGGTCCCGTTGCCGTTTTCTTTTACATGAACTAAGGTATTCCAGATACACCGCTCAGATATTTTCGGGGGCTTTACACTGTCCGGGATTTCCATATCACTAGGTCTAACGTAAGTGTCATCATGGCACAGGTTGGCGAAGTAGTCGTTCAGACGAACTAGAGAGTTCTTATCCAAATTTATCAACGATGACCTGCGACGCTGCGATAGGGCGTCCACGCCCTTCCACCACTCACCGCTACCAATGGCAGCCAGTTTTCTTCTGTTCTCGGTTATCAGCTCAGAAATGCGCTTATTGAATAAAGACAGACGTTCCTTGTTGTTTAAAGATATATGGGACTTAGTCCTCAGCATACACTTGAGTAATGGGGACATCCAAACTGGGTCACGCGATGACATGTGTACAGATTTTTGCGGCATAAACTTATTCATTGCTGCACGAATCTTTACCTCAAGCACCACGACCGCCTTGTTTATGTCCACCTCATTGAGGAAGTCACTCCAGTCCAGCGTAGTGAGTACCATATAAAATGACTGTTTCCGATGTTCCCTACAGTCCCGCATAAGAACTTTGGGGCGCAAAGGTTTAAGTTTTAATCCCGCCGGTAAAACAAAGCCTTCATGGTCTGTCTTAATAAGCATAAGTATGGGATATGCTTGACCGAACAGATCCGCTCGGTTGGTCATACAGTTATCCAAGCACGCGTTACCCCGCCTGGGAAAATCAACCACGAAATCCCAGCCAGACAAAGCCTTAAATTCTTGCATATCCAAACGATTTACATCGCCACCACAGACAATAGCAACTTCTGGGTGTTTGTTCAAAACAAGGTCCACAAAAGATATTACATAATTAATTAAGTCGAGATCCCGTTAGCTATGCTTGGGAGGATTATACAGGCCGCAAATTAGCATAATGTGATCGGACGGCAACTGCACTGTTAAAGCAATAAACTCATATAACCTGGACCGATAGACATCCAAGACTTTAAGACTGTCTCGCACATAGACCGCAACACCCCTTTTTTCCTTTTGTCCAAGTCTGCCCAACCTCTGTCCCGCCTGAACACATTGTAATTTGGGATATTCACCACGGCGTCCGGCATATTAGTGGAAAGATGAGCTTCACTGACAATACACACATCAATATCCTGAGATCTCAGGTCAGCCTCAAGCGCCACAGGTGTTCGTACACGACTTTTTGTTTTCGACAAACCACAAATGTTCGTAAACAAACATTTTGGGACAGCGAAACCCTTTGATTTAGAGGTGGATGTTTTGTCAGTTGTGTTGACACGCAGAATGTTAATTAAGTTACTCCGATCCACTTTCAGACCTTCAGCCTTAACGAAACGGCGGCCTTGCATCACCGGGATTTTCTTGGTTGAGGTGGATCGTGAAATTCGAGCACTATGTTGCCTACGGTACTTCAGAATGCCGAGTGACTTGAACTGAGATAGAACGGCCGGAGATGGCTTAAAAGCTTTGTTTCGGAGAGACAAGAGTTCAGAGCATTTCAAAGACGCTGGCTTAGTTCGCATTAACATCGGGTAGTTCTTATTAACTCCTCCGAAACTCCTGTCTGTCTCTGGACCCGGTTGTGACTCGACGTCCATATCTATAGTGATATCTAGCGTGATATATTTCTCCGGTACTGCAAGCAAGGTTAGACCATGGACGCCCCACAACACCACCGGCCGGCGAACTCTAAATTTAGGAGTAGTGAACTTGGATAAAATATGTTTGAAAAGCCAAGGACTTTCAGCCCCCCTAGAGTGACAATTGTAGGATTCTTGGGCAGCATTCAAAACGAAAAGAACACCAAAAATGGTAAATAGGCGAAGAGCTCCAGAAAACGTGGCAGCCATGTTGGCGCCTTTAGATAACTTTAACGAGGAGCACCGAAATGTGAGCTATGGTTCAAAATATTGAGCTGTTCACTACGCTTTGTTAGAAAGGGAATTGCCGCAACGAAACATGTTAATAAAATTAAAATTTTCGCTAAAAGCTGAAAAATTATTTTGAACCCTGGTGAGCAATTTATATATTTTTTCAAGCCAGCTGCTTTGATCAAATTTGGTTTCCCTATTTTTGGATGGAAAAGCTACTTACTCCGCACAAGAATGTTGTTTCAAGCTAATTTTTGCAGGATATTTTTTCCTGAATTCTAGATAAACGAACTAAAGAAAAGAAAAGGAACTCTATTTAATGAGGGTGATACATGACAGTACTAATTAACTGATGACCCAGTGGCCCTCAAATAAGTCAAACAAAGATTTTAAATAAACATAAAGTGCATGAAAATCCCCACTTGTGGGAGGCAGACCAGAGGGCTATTTACAGAGCTGAGCGCAGCCGAGGAGTTGAACACGGGGCAACCGAGAACAAATCCAGCGAGTAGAGGGTACATGATTTGAACCCGGGACGTGCCGCCTCCATTTTTTTGTTAAAATCGTGTCTGTGTGGAGAAACTGTGACTTTGAATAAATTAAAGTTTATATCCTTCCATGCAGGCAATTAATGTACTAGCGCTCGTTTTTTATTCCATGGTTAGCGAAAGGCTACCCATCCCTCTCGATATTATGGTTTTTGAGCGGTTATTTTAAGACGTACAAACGAACAAACTAAGCAGGGATCGTTGCGGTCTGTGGGAGGATTGCATAGTCGATAAAAGGTTCTATGTTTCTAGTCTATCGATATTTATGGCTGGTTATTTCACAAGAGAGATGAAAGCTACTTGTATTTGAATTGTGGGGTAGCTAATCAAAGGTTCATTATTTTCTGTCATTTCTCAATAACTTTCCATTTTACATTGCACCAAATCATTTAAATATTGATAAAACGATGTGGTTAACATTACAACCAGAATAGAAAAAATTTAGTTTCAGGAAAGTTGGTGAAGGTACGACCAGTTCTCATACGCGTATTTCTGGTATACCAAGAAAATGGGCGCCAACATTGGAGTCTCTGTTTTCTTCTTTCTCACTTTCCCATTTTTTGCAAGGTAACTTATTCTACAATTTTGAAGAAGAGCCCATCAAATGAGTCGCTTTTCGCTCTGTATTCAATATAGATAACCGCTAGTCAAAAAGTTCTCCCTTAACATGTTGGTGAAAAATATTCTACAGTGAACGATTTGTCTTTTATATATATACTCTTTATAGATCAGTTAATCTTGGAGGCGCTTGCCAAAGTATGTGGAACAATGCTGGAAATAACTTGATCGTTCCAGCAGAATTAACTGTCAATGCGGTCCAAAACGCAGCTCCGTTGTTTACCGTGGTTCCTGGAGCTGGAGGAGTTGGAAAAGTCAATTCCCCTGTATTTGCCCGATTCCGAGGTATTTAAAGAATAAGAACCCTTTACTATCTTTTATATCAAAGCTTATTGCCACTGATAGACAAAAATCTACGATACAGTACAATTCAGGGCTGTGACCAGTCTTTGAAATCTACTTCCTGCGCTGAAGTAGATAAATAATGACGAACATTTATTCATTCACCGCGCGCTAACTTAGTCAATGGACAATATCGTTCTGCTCTTTAACCAGATGATCAGTGGTAATCAATGGTAAGTAATATATTTCTAAAATTTCCACAGAGGAAATAAAATTAAAGGAGAGACTGTGTCTTCCCTTTTAATAAAGTTACGACCTTCACGCAAAAAAGAAAAAACAGGGCAAGATGTTTTCCGTCCTGTCACGAGCGACAAAGAAAAACTTCTGAGTCCCCATAAGGAATTGACCCTCAGACCTTCGGATTCCGCGCTCCGATGCCCTATCACTGAGCCACAGAGACTCCATGGGGTGAGGCAAGGCCCATTACGAAGTGAAAGAAAACAGCTTGTAGAAAATTTTTAACCTAAAGGCTCAAACAACCGAGGTATTGGATTGAAATTAACAAAAATTTCAGTGGAAGTACGCATGCAAAGTTTAGCCAGGGTGTTGACATGGACCAAAGTAACCAAGATTTCTATGATGTTACGACGAAAATTTACGGCGGAATACTTTCTTACCTGTTTTTTCTTTTAGCCTTACACTGAGATTACGTAGGTTTCTTGTTATAGAAGAGAACCCTAACTCTTAAAAGAAAAAAAAAAAACACCTCTACAAGATCTTGATGTTTTGAAACGTTGAAAAAACGTCGTTGTTTCTGGTGGTAAAATTTCAAATGTCTTGTGTTTGTTACAATCCCAAACAGATCTATTGGTTGATTACCAGGCTGTGCCGTTTGTTCTCAATCAGCAACATATAAATGACTTCATAACTGCGGTAACCCAACCAGGCGGACCTATGCAGGCAGCCTTGAATTATTTAGTAAATCAACCGGGATCATTGCCTCCAGGAGTGGTAAGTCTGTAACTTGTAGACCTGTTCTTTTATTGAATGGATATCTTGCTCACACGTCCTGAACTTATTAGTTCTTCAAGAAGACTCGAACTTTAGAACTTCGGATCTTAACGTATGTCGTTCTTCCAATGAACAACAGAGAACGCTTTTATAAACCAATAAGGTAAGGGATTACGAGGGGTGAGGTGGATGGAGGAATTTAGGCGGGGATCACATAGTTTTCGCGGATACGTTGGGGAGATCAGTCGTCGCCAACAGAGTTTAAAGAGGGACTTAAGAAAATTGACTGCCAATGAGAGCCGCCAATGGAAGAGGGTTGGGAATCATAAGGAGAGCCTAAGAGGAGAATGACATAAATTTTTTCTTGAAACAAGCAAAATCCCCATAAATAAAGACCTGTCCCTAAATCAGGTAACGAGATGTGAGGGCTTATGAAACATCGATGACTTGAGATAATTTTGCACAAAAACCGTCCCAAGCATTCCAAAGCGTTAGGTACAGTTGATCCAGTCAACTTTTTAGGGCTACTCCTCTGTTTTCTCCTGCAACATTATAGATTACATTCCCTATATTTTCGTGTCACACCTCCCCTGTTCAGTTTCCTGCTCGTTCGTCCCATTTATCGTTATGAACTTCACTTTTAGACCACCCTAGAACAATTTAGATGCATTTTGGAAGAATTATGGTTCCGGAACAGCGACGGATTTAAACATGTTTTTGTTGGTAAGTACGGAACATGAACAATAGAAATAAATAAATAAAAAGTCTTCAAGGTTTATGTCCATGAGAGAACTAACCTAACCGGTCGACACGCTGTGTACTCATCGATGAATAAAAGATATTAGTATATACTAAAACAATGGATAGCGTTGAAGGCGCGCTCTGATTGGCTAGTCAACTCCGAATATCCTTTGCTATTTACCTCCGAGCATCTCGGGAAAAAAAGAAATCACTCAAATCAATTTTCGGTGGTGCATATTATCTCACTGTTTTAGTATATACTAAAACAACTATTCACCTCAGTGTCGGTGGTTAGAGGTGGATATTTACCTCGCCGCTTCGCGGCTCGGTAAATATCCACCACTAACCACCTCCACTTCGGTGAATAGTTGTTAAATATTCCTTCATTCATCCTAACCAAATTCTGTGTTCGCGTTATTGTTTTACAGGGAATCAAATAAACGCTAACAGTTTCAATGGATTTCACAACTGGTACCAGTTCTTCCTTGAGCAAGCGAGACAACCGACTCAGACGACAAATATCGCTTTTAATCAGCCACCGCATCTGCCGCCTTTCGTGGGAAATAGATTGGTCAGTTACTTCATTCATAGTGAAAAACTCGACCAAAAGCCATAGCGTCATGCAAACCTACAATTTATCTTGAGTGGTACTCAATCTTTGTTCGCTAAATGTAATACTAGTTCATTCATTTATACTGGCGTTAAAGGAAGGCGGTGTGGAGTAAAAGTGTACAGAGTAAAATTGTCAATGACACTATTCTGCTGGAACGTTCAGAGCATGTTACTCAGAAAAGAGACGTCTTTATAAGTGTTCGTGCCTAATAAATGTAGTAAACAAAGCCGGGTAAAAAGGCACCAGGCGAAAGGTGTATCAAAATAATCCGAGCCGAGAAGGCTTTCAGCCGAGCTCTATCGACCCCAAGTTTAGTGTTGACTAATAAGACACCATAACGTAAGTTTAGCTTACAGCTCGTGTAATTGTGCATGACTGAATGAAGTTTAAATGCTGTTATTGCATATGGCGTATGGCTGCTACCTCAGATGGTTGTGCCCTAGTGTGATCCTCATTGACGCCATGAATATCTATAAGGCATTGATAGCCAATAACTTAGTTTCAAATATAAAGAGAGGAAAAACTCAGTTCCTCTTTTACCTTTTCATCCACAGCCATATTTTCTGCGTGGCTTAGCATTCACCTGGAGAGGGGCGAACAAAGTACCACAAGGCACCAGCAGCTGCATGTTCGTAGGAACCAGCCCAGCATTTGATTTGGCCATGTTTACTGCTTGTGTCTTAAGAGGACGTGCACCTGGAGGAGGAGTAATAGGAGGAAACGGCAATCGAGTTACAGACTGTGAGTGCAATATTCACGTGCCTGCGGGAGGGCTACCGCAGAGCCTGGTGCGATTTAGGACCGTCGAGAACCCAAATAATGAGAGGGTCGTCACCGCCTATCCAAGAAATGTCCTATAGATGAATGATCACCGTTTTGTATTAAGGATTCATCTTGAACATTAAAATTTTAATGTAGACGGTAAATGTGTGAGAGGGATGTCTAACTAACAAACGGTACACAAATCAGCATCAATTGACATTTATCACTTGTATTCATCAGTCGAGATCTAGAGCCATAAACAGCGACAGAACCATAATATGCAGTAAATGGTTTGAACCCGGGGGTAATATGTGAAGGTGTAGTCTGATCGTCCGGGTGAGTGTAGTCCTGAGAAGGACTGTTGTCGGTGGTAGTGACTGACGTTTCGACAACCTGTGCGGAAGTCATCATCAGAGTCAAGTGAATGATTGTTGTCAGTAGAATGTTCTTATTCCAGTTCGTGTGAAATGATCGGTTGGTTTTGCCGTGATGTTATTGGCTGTAAGACTCAAGTGACGTAAGTCGGTCGTGATTGGTCTGTTTCGATCTGTCGGTAAAGTTAGGTCGTTCTTTTTCGGTCGTTTGTGATGTTTATGTCGTGAATGAGTCGTTTGTATGGAGCGGGTAGTTGTTGACATCTGTTTAGGGGAGTCTGTTCTAAGTTAGTAAACCAGCTTTCCAGAGTCAGTCGTTGAAAATAGTCAGTGCTGTAGGTTAGGCATTGCGCAGAGTCCCAGTCAATGTTGTGGTTGGTAAGTCGATGGTGTTCAGCAATGTGATTGCTGACATCACCTTTCCTCGTCGCCCGTCTGTGTTCAGTCAGTCTTGTTGTGAGGTTTCTGCCAGTCTCACCGATGTAGGAGGCTTGGCAGTCGGAACAATTGATCTTATAAATCGTTCCCTGTCTGTTCCTCGGTTCGTCTTTGTCTTTAACGTTGGTTAGTAACTGACGTAGTGTGGTGATGGGTTTGTGGGCGACGCGGATATTGAAGGGTAGTAAGATGCGCGAGATGTTTTCAGACATGCCTTTTATGTACGGTATGGTTGCTGTAGTCGTAGGGGTTGCGGTGTCGTTTGTTTCGGTAGTGGTAGTGGGTCGGTGAGTGTTTCGTCGGATGAAGTCGTTGTTGTAGTTGTTCTTCGTAAAAACACGGTGAAGGTATTTGTTCTCGTCGGATAAGCTGTCTGTCGAGTC